GATGATAAAACAGAAGCAGCTCCTTGGGGCCCAGCTAGCAAAGCCAGGCTGGAAAGACACCTCCACCAAGAAGCACCACAGAGGTGAGGGACTGTTTCTGAGACAGTACATCCCACCCTTCCACACATTGCCCGGTGGCCTACTATGCACCGGGCTTATTGGGGGGTGGGGGTGGGTGGTGGGCTGGGGTGGGGTGGGGGGACTGTTTCCAGCCTTGAGGAGGCGGCAAGTGGGTTGGGAGAGAACTAGGGTGGATAAGTCGCGCCTAGCTGCAGAGCAAGCAGCACTGACACCAAGTGGCCTTACTTCTGCAAGTCTTCTGGTCCGCGTTGAGGACGTACCCCTGCCTGCACCTGCAGGTGTATGAGCCGGGTGTGTTGATGCAGAAGTGGGCACAGTTGTGTTCCGAGACACTGCACATGTGGACCGCTGCAAAGGAAGACAAAGAGAGTCAACGCCTTCCCTCAGCTTCATCCTATCCAGCAAATGTGCACTGGGAGCCTGTGAAGGAGAGGGCTGAGCCCAAAGAGAAGCAAACTGTAGTCCCTGTCCACAGGGAGGGTCCCTCTCTCGAGTTGACAAGACAGATCCTGATAAATGTGTCATCAGTGAGTAACTAAAGGGCCATGCGAGGGAAAGGGAGCGGCGTTAGACTGAACCGTATAAAACTGCTGGTATCTGGTTTGGGACTTACAAATCCGGAAATTTCAGGTTCAACTTAACGACCCCATATGACAGGCAGAAACATCAGAAAAGTTTCTGATTCCAGAATGTGACATGGAATCTTGAGTAGGCAGAAGGGGAGCTGGGGGGAGCTCCTGATTAAATACGGAGGTGTTAAAGAACACACCATCTCCCAAGATCATAAATCCTAAGAATCACGTACTTTTAAATCCACATTAAGTATAAAAAAATTGGCATAACAATGCATTTAAATGTTTCGTAATGCCATGATTTTTGCATCTCAATATTTCTGCATTTAGTTTCTGAAAGTACTTAAGCTCAGACACATAGATTCTTACTTACATAAGCCTGTCTGGAGCTCATACAATTCTTGTTGTTTTTTAACATCTCAGTTTATGACTTTAATCAATCGAGTACAGCTTGAACATATTTAAAGTGAACAGACATTGGTCTTAAAAGAACACATTATGTAAGTGTTCTCATAAACAAAGATGTCAAAATGAGAAAATAGCTTTCTGAAGCTTATACAATAAAGGGGAAATTCAAAGCCATCCTTTGTCTATCCGGTAGGTGGGGAGTAGGTAGTAGGTCCATCTGAGCTACCAATGACTACTTTTGATATACACCTCTTTACATCTAAGTAAGAAATGTCGTGGCCAAGCATGCTGTCTAGTTTTATGTTAACGATACAAGCTAGAGTCACTTGGGAAGAGAACCTCAGCTGAGAAAATGCCCCCACCAAATTGGCCTGTGGAGTATTTTCTTATGGCTGAGTGATCTGAGGGCCCATCTCTGTGAGTCATGTTATAAGAAAGCAAGCTGTGGGGGCTGAAGAGATGACACAGCCATTAAGAGCACTGGCTGCTCTTCCAGAGGTCCTTTGTTCGATTCCCAGCAAGCACGTGGTGGCTCACAACCATCTACAGTGGGAGCTGATGTCCTTTTCTGGCAAAAAGTTGTACATGCAGATAGAGCACTTATATTCATAAAATAAATAAATAAATCTTTAAAATACTAAAACTCCATGGCCTTTTATATTCCAAGAATTGCAGAAAGAAAGGAAGAGATAGGAAGGAAGGAAGGGAGGGAGGGAGGGAGG